ATGTGGTAGTGGTCGTGACGAGGGTTCTGAATATATAAAGAATGCTGAAATCCGAGTTATAACGAAGAAGTTATGAACTGTCGAAGTTTCGCGACAGAACCGACACGACGTTGTATGACATAAAATATGAATTTAGGATAGAGCGATATCTAGCCTTAGTAATCTAAACGAAAGTCGTAGAATACGTTAAACTGAGAGCATGCATAAAAAGAACGTCCAAATCTGACTTCGTATGAGGAAGTTATGATTTTTCTAAGTTTCAGCTTAGAAGTATGCAGCCTAAAGTTCGAATATGAGATCGAGTGATTTCTAGCTAAAAGAATCTAAACGAGAATCAAAGATCTCGTCGATAATAGTCCAACGGTAAAAAGACTGACGAAAACGGACGTCAGATGAAGGAGTTATGAATTTCTAACGGAGTTTTCCTGTCCCGGCCTACTAAAAATAATATAATAAAAATAAATCAAAATTAGCCGACGGAGTCTAAACGAAAGTTTTAGAGCATAATCTCACCTTCTTGTGGATATAAAGAACATCGAAAACGGAGCTCGTATACGAAAGTAATGAATTTCAGAAGTTCGGGGCGCGAACCCCAAAGCTGTGTCAGGGTTCACGACGTGAAAATAGGGTTCACGACATGAACTCAGAGCTGACGTCTTCTGAAGCCTGACCGACTGAACATCGCGACTACGAACCTGATGACGTCCAAGGCCACGACGTGAATAAGTGGTTCACGACGTGAAAATCGAAATATCAGCCCTATAAATAGAAGTCGAGTCGAGCCGTTTATGGTTGCCAAATTCTTTCCTCTCACTCCATATTACCTCGTTTTACATGCAAAGTATACCCCCGAAGCCCACGTATCATCTCGAGACCCGAAGCGAGTCCCGAAGCCCCGAAAATCCCGAGAAACGAGTGCCCGAGCCGAAACTCTGCCCGCGAGAAGCTCGGTTTTTGTGAAGATCTCCCGGTTTGACCGAAGAATACTACTCTTAGAGCCGTAGTGCTGTCCGATCATCTTCTGATCAAGTGAGTCCGTAGTCCCTTTCATATACACGATTTTAATAAAATTATTGATGAATGTATTAGATATATGATATGAGTAAGTGTGTAGTTGCTTTCTATAATACACATATATGAATTATACTCTATGAAATACGTGCTATGTGATTATATACAATCTGTTATGTGGTATGAGTATTGAATGAATATGTTATACAGGTTTTAAGTTGTATATAAACAAGTATATTTTATCTACAAATATGTTGGGTAGAACATGGGTAGATAGTGATGTGTGATGAAATAAAAATGACGAGAGGCCTCGATGTGATTGTGATCTACTCGTCCAGCAGAATATGGATGACGACCACGGACTTTTCTAGACAGTTCAGTGGAACGCTGGCAGGCTCATAACCTGTAGGTGTAGTGAACTTGGGTATTCATTTGTTGTATTCTATCCCCCTCATGGTTGCCTTAGGACCTTCATTGCTGAGGAAACCCCTTTGTAGTAGTGTCTGTCCTAATGAAAATCCTAGATTAGGTCCATTGTAATAGTTGTTGTCATAGGGACGTAAAGTGAGGATAACGGGAATAGGTAATCGGGTTATTGTTGGTTGGTGAAATTAAATATAATTATTTATTGTGGGTTGAAAACCCTATATGCTCACCAGGCTCCCAAGCCTGACCCACTCAGTTTCTTTGTATTACAGGTAGTGGCGTGAGAGCATAAGTTGGACAGCTTGTGAAGATATTTTGTTTATAGGCCAGTAGTGTGTATAACTGTTATAAGGCTTTTAATGTGCCGTTTATGCTTTTGGTCTGTATCGGAACATGACATCCTAAAGTTTTTATATAATGAAATACATTTCTTCGGAAATGCTTTGATAAATCTTATTTTATCATATTTTGTTTTGGGGACAAATTCCGCAACTCTTTTAAATCAATGGATTTACTTTGAAATTAGTTTAAAAACATAAATGAAACCGGTCTTTTCTGGCCGTGATTTTGGGGATGTCACACAGAAGCTTCGTCGACATGTCCTGTTCCTTCGTTTCCCTTACCGTCAGCGTCTTCGACTGATTAGAGGGGTAGGGCACCGATCGATAACTGCTACCTTCGAACCAACTGCCGCCTCTTCATCCCATCGATTGAACCACCCACCTCTCTTCCCTTCACACACTATGTCGGAACCGGGAGAGAAGCAGCCGAGAGCTGCTTGATTGTTAAAGGTCGGTGTTTTCTATCTAGGGTTTTAAAGCGGTAAATGTAAACGATTTTCCCTAAATTAAAGGGTTTATGATTTGAATAATTAATTACCAAAAATAATTAAAAGCTAAGATTACAATTTTACCCCTATCTAGGTTTTTAAAATGATTGGTCCACATTTATGCATACAATAACATAATAATTACTTTAAACACCTGAACCTATCTCTCTCTCTCTCTCTCTCTCTATATATATATATATATATAGATATATATATATATATATATATATATATATATATATATATATATATATATATATATATCTATATATATATATATATATATATATATATATATATAACAGACCCCACGACTAGCAAGGAACTAGATGAGAGCAACAAAACATGGTAATTACTACATATTAAAAGCAAATAAAATGAGAGCAACACCAGTCAGTCCATCTACACTTTGTGTTCTTTCCCTTATGTTTATACCATGTATACACCAATGAAATTACATCATCCGCCACAATAGTAGGGGACTTCACTACCTTGTTATAAACTGTCTCGTTTTTCGCCTTCTATATCGCCATATGAATACATAAAAGATAGTCAGAAGGATCTTTCGATTTTTTGAACAGTTACCCCATCGTGCAGCAAAGTTGAGGAATTCTGCCACCATTATGAAATGCCTTTGTGTAAACCCGCATAACTTGAGGATCCAATCTAGTGCCGATTGAACAAATTTGCAACTAATAAGAACATGTTCCACAGACTCTTCTTCACATACACAGAAACAAGTACTAGTGGGATGAATGTGAACACCTTTTTTGATCTAGGTCTCCGCTACCAGAATTATTCCAAGTTTCGCACTTCATATAAAACATAACACTTTTAGCGGGTCTGTTTTTAACCAGGCTATTGTATCTTCACCAGTCAAAGTGATTTTTCTATCAATTAGTCGTTGAATGGGATCGAACATAAATTCGTGGTGATATTCGTCAAATATGATTGGAACCAGACTAACAAAATTGAGAGTTCATTCTTTCAGATGGCCTCCAAACGACGTTAAAATCTATGAAAATAATCCAGGTTCCATGTTTGGAACCTTTTAACTGAAGAAGATCTTCCCACAATCTTTTTTTCTCATACTCAGCTTGTGGAGCATAAACATTTACAAATATGATATCCCCACCAATCCCTCTCCACGAGCCAATTATAGCCTAATAATATCGATTTTTAATTGAGTATAGTCTTCCTTTTTCAGAATAAAAAATAAAAACTAGATCTTCAAATTTGTACAATTGAAAAATGATTAAAAATAATATATATGAGTTTATAATATGACGTATAATAATTTATATAAATATTCAGATAATTTCTATACGGTAGCAACTTATTTTCTCTTTTTTAATAAGGGTTTTTGTCATACAAGCCCCTGAATTTACATAAAGAAACCAGTTATCCCAAAGTTGCATTTTTTTGTGCCACAGATTCCTCATATTTCCCCCTCATGTTTCATTTTAATTTTTTTCACCGGTTCCCCTTTACCAACCGGTTACATCCCCCAATTCAACCCCCAAACATCATCATTTTTCCGTTAACATCAATCCAAAGTCTCTCCTATGTCTTCTATCCTCTCCCTCGTCTTCTACCCCCATGTCTCTGTAAAATGTCGGCTTCATCTGCCAAATCGAGCTTCCAAGTTGGTTCAAGATCGAGAAAGAAAAGAATAGCTAGATGTGCCTGTGGAGATATGTGTAAGGTAGTTGTTGCTGAACACCTGAGAACTATGGAAAAACGTTTTATAGGTGCCCTAAATACCAGGTAAACAATTCGCCCTAATTTTTAAATTTCTTGAGAAACCCTAAAAAATGTATGTAATTTATCCAAATTGTTGTTTTTCTTGGTGGAAGGAGAGGACTGTGGTTTTTTCAAATTGTTCAATGAAGAAGATGGCATATTATCGACCCAACTCACACAGAGCAAGGGTAGGGCAGGGACAGCAGAAGACTTTGGTAGAATAATTATAGGGTTCTTAGTTCTTATTTTTGTAATGTTGATAATAGTTGTTTCGAACATGTAAATCATTTGAATGTTTGGATTGGCTATGTAAACGTGCTTATTCTTATGTAACTATTGTTTTGGTAAGAATATTTTAGTTGAAAATTATTTATGAAATGCAAATGATACAATGCAAAGTATATTGCTGAAAATGGTAAAATATACTCTAATGATAAAGTACAATGCTGCACTTGGCTAAATGTAGTTGCAAATGGTACATAATATAGATGCAAATAATATGGATCAAAAAACATAACATACATATTATAATGTACAGATAACAACAAATTATGTATAATGTTCACAATGGTAAAATTAAGATGAAATAATGATCAATACCATTATCTCTATTGATCCATTCCATTACAAACATAACAAACGTATTGATCCTACCATTATTTGTACATAATATAAACATAACAATCATAAAAAACATATTATAACCATAATGGGGGGATTCATTACATCATATTTATGTACCATTACAAAAGATTAAAAAAGATCAACTAGCATGTACCATCCATCCATTTGTATCAAATTGCCTAAAATATATCCTAAAAAGGCAATCCAAAAGGTACATGAGAAAAATTGGATGAAAGGTGCACTTAATGTGTGTATAAAGTAAGATGTACAAAATGTAGCAGAAAGGGCTTCCTATACAAATGCCCAAGTATATGACCGCCACCTAAAACCCCAATATACATACCTAACTACTCCAAATTCACTAGATTTAAACATGTGGAATCACCCCATCTTTATTAAAAGCTGTCTTTTTAAGCTTTAGTTTAGTGATCCTCAAAGATGGAATTCTTTTCCTCATCCTAGGCACTATCAGATGGCCTTCATCATCAGCCTCATTATTTAGAACATCATCAACCTCATTCCCATCATTAACACCTTCACCTTCCCCTTCAATCACATCACCATCATCTTGTTTTCAACACCTTCACCTTCATCATTTACAAAGTCACCTTCACCTTCATCAACATCAGGCTCCTCCTCATTTAAGTCCTGATACAAGCAACAACAAACATATATAAAGGGAAGAAACACATATTTAAAATTATAAGGTTAACAAATTACCATCTTAACTAGTGAAGTGTCATCAAGTTCAATTTCCAACCACCCCATGCTTTCTATTTCAGCCACGAAATATCCTGCTTCAAGTAAATATGCTATTCCTTCCACAATTAACTTGATTTTTATGGGAGAGCATCTTATGCATGTTCTTCAGTGAACTCAAGTTCTGCACCACCATCATTAACAAATGGAACATCAGATGCATCTGATGCATTTCTATAACCAAGAATTTGATTAATTTCATCTCCAACTTCATCAAGACTCTCTTTTAGATCTTGGGCAACCTTTACTGTAACATCAACTTCTTCCTCTTCTAGCACCATAATGTCATCAGCCTCATTCACCCAAGGAACCTCATTAACAATTGGATCTAATGCCTCAACTTCTATCACCTCATTAACCATTAGCACTGGCTCTTGGGAAACCTTCACTGACACCTCAATTGCATCCTCTCGTATCACCTCATTCACCAAAGGAACAACATTAACAACAGGTGCTTGAGCAACATTATTTGGAATATCATTAACAGTTGGAACTTGGTTGTTGACAGACTAAAATCTGGTTGTTGACTTCCTAGTCATCGGCCTTCTTACACCCAGTTTCTTCATTCTAACATTGGAACAGTTACTTCACTAGTCTGACTACCCACAAATGCAATGCCACCAACTCTGAAACTAGAATGACTACCGACAAATGCAATGCCACCAACTCTGAACTTGGACCTCTTAAAGCCAATTTCCTCATTTTCTTGCCAGTGTTAGAACTTGAAGCATGTAGACTATCTTGTTGACTAGCTTGATCAGTAATGTATTGACTTACTTGTTGATTTGCTTGTTGACTAGGTTGAGTGGGTACAATTGATGTCACAAGTGGTTGACTGGTATGTAGATTAGATCCAGAAACATGTATATTGGATCAAGATATATGTGTATTGGATCCAATACATCACATTTCCTAGGCCTCCCAATCTTCTTTAGTAACATAGGAATTGTTATCTTTTTTTTTTTCATTCTTGTAGCCATTTTTATTATGCCCATAGTCAAGACAATTAGCACATCTTACTGTCCTTGGGGGCTTCACCCTTGAAGTGGAACTAAACTTACTCTCTTTCTCACTTGCATGCCTCCTTCTCTTGATTCTAGGCCTACCAGGCATTTTCCTACAAACATGTGGCAAAGGCTTGTTGTATCTAGTTTGATGCCACATATTACTCCCATTCACAGGACTGATGTTTGTAGAGTAGCATTCCTTGAACTTATTCACTAAAAATTAGTCACTAATATATTCCTCTGGAGTTTGATGGATATAATTAATGGATGCTATGGCATGGACACATGGGATTCCAGACGAATCCCATAATCCGTAAGAACAAACTCTACCTTCCAAATCTACCTTATAACTAGAACATGATATTCTCACATCAAACACATTTCGTAGGCTATGCACTACTAACCAAAACCTGCATGAAGAGAAAGAGTATATATTATTCATTATATATCAATTATAATGACAATTAGAATAAAAAACAGTTATTTTGTGTGTTACCTAAAGTTCTTTCTAAAAAGATTCATCTTCTTAATCACTTCTGGACATATATTAGCTTTCCATTTACTGCATTCATCATTCATAAAGGAAAACATGTACATGATGTATATACTTATCTCCTCAAGCATTATAATCAAAGGTTTTTTCCTAGCTTCTACAATTATGGAGTTGAAACACTCTGAAATACCATTCTCCATTGCCTCACAAGCAAACCCTGCACTTATGTAAGCTCTACACCATGTTTTGGGTTCATTTGATATTAGATACTCATATGCACTAGGGTTTAGAGTCTTTCTTTTTTCCATGCTTTCTATTTCAGCCACGAAATATCCTGCTTCAAGTAAATATGCTATTCCTTCCACAATTAACTTGATTTTTATGGGAGAGCATCTTATGCATGTTCTTCAGTGAACTCAAGTTCTGCACCACCATCATTAACAAATGGAACATCAGATGCATCTGATGCATTTCTATAACCAAGAATTTGATTAATTTCATCTCCAACTTCATCAAGACTCTCTTTTAGATCTTGGGCAACCTTTACTGTAACATCAACTTCTTCCTCTTCTAGCACCATAATGTCATCAGCCTCATTCACCCAAGGAACCTCATTAACAATTGGATCTAATGCCTCAACTTCTATCACCTCATTAACCATTAGCACTGGCTCTTGGGAAACCTTCACTGACACCTCAATTGCATCCTCTCGTATCACCTCATTCACCAAAGGAACAACATTAACAACAGGTGCTTGAGCAACATTATTTGGAATATCATTAACAGTTGGAACTTGGTTGTTGACAGACTAAAATCTGGTTGTTGACTTCCTAGTCATCGGCCTTCTTACACCCAGTTTCTTCATTCTAACATTGGAACAGTTACTTCACTAGTCTGACTACCCACAAATGCAATGCCACCAACTCTGAAACTAGAATGACTACCGACAAATGCAATGCCACCAACTCTGAACTTGGACCTCTTAAAGCCAATTTCCTCATTTTCTTGCCAGTGTTAGAACTTGAAGCATGTAGACTATCTTGTTGACTAGCTTGATCAGTAATGTATTGACTTACTTGTTGATTTGCTTGTTGACTAGGTTGAGTGGGTACAATTGATGTCACAAGTGGTTGACTGGTATGTAGATTAGATCCAGAAACATGTATATTGGATCAAGATATATGTGTATTGGATCCAATACATCACATTTCCTAGGCCTCCCAATCTTCTTTAGTAACATAGGAATTGTTATCTTTGTTTTTTCATTCTTGTAGCCATTTTTATTATGCCCATAGTCAAGACAATTAGCACATCTTACTGTCCTTGGGGGCTTCACCCTTGAAGTGGAACTAAACTTACTCTCTTTCTCACTTGCATGCCTCCTTCTCTTGATTCTAGGCCTACCAGGCATTTTCCTACAAACATGTGGCAAAGGCTTGTTGTATCTAGTTTGATGCCACATATTACTCCCATTCACAGGACTGATGTTTGTAGAGTAGCATTCCTTGAACTTATTCACTAAAAATTAGTCACTAATATATTCCTCTGGAGTTTGATGGATATAATTAATGGATGCTATGGCATGGACACATGGGATTCCAGACGAATCCCATAATCCGTAAGAACAAACTCTACCTTCCAAATCTACCTTATAACTAGAACATGATATTCTCACATCAAACACATTTCGTAGGCTATGCACTACTAACCAAAACCTGCATGAAGAGAAAGAGTATATATTATTCATTATATATCAATTATAATGACAATTAGAATAAAAAACAGTTATTTTGTGTGTTACCTAAAGTTCTTTCTAAAAAGATTCATCTTCTTAATCACTTCTGGACATATATTAGCTTTCCATTTACTGCATTCATCATTCATAAAGGAAAACATGTACATGATGTATATACTTATCTCCTCAAGCATTATAATCAAAGGTTTTTTCCTAGCTTCTACAATTATGGAGTTGAAACACTCTGAAATACCATTCTCCATTGCCTCACAAGCAAACCCTGCACTTATGTAAGCTCTGCACCATGTTTTGGGTTCATTTGATATTAGATACTCATATGCACTAGGGTTTAGAGTCTTTCTTTTTTCCATGCTTTCTATTTCAGCCACGAAATATCCTGCTTCAAGTAAATATGCTATTCCTTCCAAAATTAACTTGATTTTTATGGGAGAGCATCTTATGCATGTTCTTCAGTGAACTCAAGTTCTGCACCACCATCATTAACAAATGGAACATCAGATGCATCTGATGCATTTCTATAACCAAGAATTTGATTAATTTCATCTCCAACTTCATCAAGACTCTCTTTTAGATCTTGGGCAACCTTTACTGTAACATCAACTTCTTCCTCTTCTAGCACCATAATGTCATCAGCCTCATTCACCCAAGGAACCTCATTAACAATTGGATCTAATGCCTCAACTTCTATCACCTCATTAACCATTAGCACTGGCTCTTGGGAAACCTTCACTGACACCTCAATTGCATCCTCTCGTATCACCTCATTCACCAAAGGAACAACATTAACAACAGGTGCTTGAGCAACATTATTTGGAATATCATTAACAGTTGGAACTTGGTTGTTGACAGACTAAAATCTGGTTGTTGACTTCCTAGCCATCGGCCTTCTTACACCCAGTTTCTTCATTCTAACATTGGAACAGTTACTTCACTAGTCTGACTACCCACAAATGCAATGCCACCAACTCTGAAACTAGAATGACTACCGACAAATGCAATGCCACCAACTCTGAACTTGGACCTCTTAAAGCCAATTTCCTCATTTTCTTGCCAGTGTTAGAACTTGAAGCATGTAGACTATCTTGTTGACTAGCTTGATCAGTAATGTATTGACTTACTTGTTGATTTGCTTGTTGACTAGGTTGAGTGGGTACAATTGATGTCACAAGTGGTTGACTGGTATGTAGATTAGATCCAGAAACATGTATATTGGATCAAGATATATGTGTATTGGATCCAATACATCACATTTCCTAGGCCTCCCAATCTTCTTTAGTAACATAGGAATTGTTATCTTTGTTTTTTCATTCTTGTAGCCATTTTTATTATGCCCATAGTCAAGACAATTAGCACATCTTACTGTCCTTGGGGGCTTCACCCTTGAAGTGGAACTAAACTTACTCTCTTTCTCACTTGCATGCCTCCTTCTCTTGATTCTAGGCCTACCAGGCATTTTCCTACAAACATGTGGCAAAGGCTTGTTGTATCTAGTTTGATGCCACATATTACTCCCATTCACAGGACTGATGTTTGTAGAGTAGCATTCCTTGAACTTATTCACTAAAATTAGTCACTAATATATTCCTCTGGAGTTTGATGGATATAATTAATGGATGCTATGGCATGGACACATGGGATTCCAGACGAATCCCATAATCCGTAAGAACAAACTCTACCTTCCAAATCTACCTTATAACTAGAACATGATATTCTCACATCAAACACATTTCGTAGGCTATGCACTACTAACCAAAACCTGCATGAAGAGAAAGAGTATATATTATTCATTATATATCAATTATAATGACAATTAGAATAAAAAACAGTTATTTTGTGTGTTACCTAAAGTTCTTTCTAAAAAGATTCATCTTCTTAATCACTTCTGGACATATATTAGCTTTCCATTTACTGCATTCATCATTCATAAAGGAAAACATGTACATGATGTATATACTTATCTCCTCAAGCATTATAATCAAAGGTTTTTTCCTAGCTTCTACAATTATGGAGTTGAAACACTCTGAAATACCATTCTCCATTGCCTCACAAGCAAACCCTGCACTTATGTAAGCTCTGCACCATGTTTTGGGTTCATTTGATATTAGATACTCATATGCACTAGGGTTTAGAGTCTTTCTTTTTTCCATGCTTTCTATTTCAGCCACGAAATATCCTGCTTCAAGTAAATATGCTATTCCTTCCAAAATTAACTTGATTTTTATGGGAGAGCATCTTATGCATGTTCTTCAGTGAACTCAAGTTCTGCACCACCATCATTAACAAATGGAACATCAGATGCATCTGATGCATTTCTATAACCAAGAATTTGATTAATTTCATCTCCAACTTCATCAAGACTCTCTTTTAGATCTTGGGCAACCTTTACTGTAACATCAACTTCTTCCTCTTCTAGCACCATAATGTCATCAGCCTCATTCACCCAAGGAACCTCATTAACAATTGGATCTAATGCCTCAACTTCTATCACCTCATTAACCATTAGCACTGGCTCTTGGGAAACCTTCACTGACACCTCAATTGCATCCTCTCGTATCACCTCATTCACCAAAGGAACAACATTAACAACAGGTGCTTGAGCAACATTATTTGGAATATCATTAACAGTTGGAACTTGGTTGTTGACAGACTAAAATCTGGTTGTTGACTTCCTAGCCATCGGCCTTCTTACACCCAGTTTCTTCATTCTAACATTGGAACAGTTACTTCACTAGTCTGACTACCCACAAATGCAATGCCACCAACTCTGAAACTAGAATGACTACCGACAAATGCAATGCCACCAACTCTGAACTTGGACCTCTTAAAGCCAATTTCCTCATTTTCTTGCCAGTGTTAGAACTTGAAGCATGTAGACTATCTTGTTGACTAGCTTGATCAGTAATGTATTGACTTACTTGTTGATTTGCTTGTTGACTAGGTTGAGTGGGTACAATTGATGTCACAAGTGGTTGACTGGTATGTAGATTAGATCCAGAAACATGTATATTGGATCAAGATATATGTGTATTGGATCCAATACATCACATTTCCTAGGCCTCCCAATCTTCTTTAGTAACATAGGAATTGTTATCTTTTTTTTTCATTCTTGTAGCCATTTTTATTATGCCCATAGTCAAGACAATTAGCACATCTTACTGTCCTTGGGGGCTTCACCCTTGAAGTGGAACTAAACTTACTCTCTTTCTCACTTGCATGCCTCCTTCTCTTGATTCTAGGCCTACCAGGCATTTTCCTACAAACATGTGGCAAAGGCTTGTTGTATCTAGTTTGATGCCACATATTACTCCCATTCACAGGACTGATGTTTGTAGAGTAGCATTCCTTGAACTTATTCACTAAAAATTAGTCACTAATATATTCCTCTGGAGTTTGATGGATATAATTAATGGATGCTATGGCATGGACACATGGGATTCCAGACGAATCCCATAATCCGTAAGAACAAACTCTACCTTCCAAATCTACCTTATAACTAGAACATGATATTCTCACATCAAACACATTTCGTAGGCTATGCACTACTAACCAAAACCTGCATGAAGAGAAAGAGTATATATTATTCATTATATATCAATTATAATGACAATTAGAATAAAAACATTATTTTGTGTGTTACCTAAAGTTCTTTCTAAAAAGATTCATCTTCTTAATCACTTCTGGACATATATTAGCTTTCCATTTACTGCATTCATCATTCATAAAGGAAAACATGTACATGATGTATATACTTATCTCCTCAAGCATTATAATCAAAGGTTTTTTCCTAGCTTCTACAATTATGGAGTTGAAACACTCTGAAATACCATTCTCCATTGCCTCACAAGCAAACCCTGCACTTATGTAAGCTCTGCACCATGTTTTGGGTTCATTTGATATTAGATACTCATATGCACTAGGGTTTAGAGTCTTTCTTTTTTCCATGCTTTCTATTTCAGCCACGAAATATCCTGCTTCAAGTAAATATGCTATTCCTTCCAAAATTAACTTGATTTTTATGGGAGAGCATCTTATGCATGTTCTTCAGTGAACTCAAGTTCTGCACCACCATCATTAACAAATGGAACATCAGATGCATCTGATGCATTTCTATAACCAAGAATTTGATTAATTTCATCTCCAACTTCATCAAGACTCTCTTTTAGATCTTGGGCAACCTTTACTGTAACATCAACTTCTTCCTCTTCTAGCACCATAATGTCATCAGCCTCATTCACCCAAGGAACCTCATTAACAATTGGATCTAATGCCTCAACTTCTATCACCTCATTAACCATTAGCACTGGCTCTTGGGAAACCTTCACTGACACCTCAATTGCATCCTCTCGTATCACCTCATTCACCAAAGGAACAACATTAACAACAGGTGCTTGAGCAACATTATTTGGAATATCATTAACAGTTGGAACTTGGTTGTTGACAGACTAAAATCTGGTTGTTGACTTCCTAGCCATCGGCCTTCTTACACCCAGTTTCTTCATTCTAACATTGGAACAGTTACTTCACTAGTCTGACTACCCACAAATGCAATGCCACCAACTCTGAAACTAGAATGACTACCGACAAATGCAATGCCACCAACTCTGAACTTGGACCTCTTAAAGCCAATTTCCTCATTTTCTTGCCAGTGTTAGAACTTGAAGCATGTAGACTATCTTGTTGACTAGCTTGATCAGTAATGTATTGACTTACTTGTTGATTTGCTTGTTGACTAGGTTGAGTGGGTACAATTGATGTCACAAGTGGTTGACTGGTATGTAGATTAGATCCAGAAACATGTATATTGGATCAAGATATATGTGTATTGGATCCAATACATCACATTTCCTAGGCCTCCCAATCTTCTTTAGTAACATAGGAATTGTTATCTTTGTTTTTTCATTCTTGTAGCCATTTTTATTATGCCCATAGTCAAGACAATTAGCACATCTTACTGTCCTTGGGGGCTTCACCCTTGAAGTGGAACTAAACTTACTCTCTTTCTCACTTGCATGCCTCCTTCTCTTGATTCTAGGCCTACCAGGCATTTTCCTACAAACATGTGGCAAAGGCTTGTTGTATCTAGTTTGATGCCACATATTACTCCCATTCACAGGACTGATGTTTGTAGAGTAGCATTCCTTGAACTTATTCACTAAAAATTAGTCACTAATATATTCCTCTGGAGTTTGATGGATATAATTAATGGATGCTATGGCATGGACACATGGGATTCCAGACGAATCCCATAATCCGTAAGAACAAACTCTACCTTCCAAATCTACCTTATAACTAGAACATGATATTCTCACATCAAACACATTTCGTAGGCTATGCACTACTAACCAAAACCTGCATGAAGAGAAAGAGTATATATTATTCATTATATATCAATTATAATGACAATTAGAATAAAAAACAGTTATTTTGTGTGTTACCTAAAGTTCTTTCTAAAAAGATTCATCTTCTTAATCACTTCTGGACATATATTAGCTTTCCATTTACTGCATTCATCATTCATAAAGGAAAACATGTACATGATGTATATACTTATCTCCTCAAGCATTATAATCAAAGGTTTTTTCCTAGCTTCTACAATTATGGAGTTGAAACACTCTGAAATACCATTCTCCATTGCCTCACAAGCAAACCCTGCACTTATGTAAGCTCTGCACCATGTTTTGGGTTCATTTGATATTAGATACTCATATGCACTAGGGTTTAGAGTCTTTCTTTTTTCCATGTTTCTCAAGAAATCACCTTCAACACAACTCATTGCATAAGCCCAGAACAGCTTCTTGAACTCCAATATAGAGCAATCTTTATTAAATTTTTCATAAATATGTCTAGCACATTGTCTGTGCTCCACATGTGGCAAAATAACCTTAACAGATTCAAGCAAACCCTGTGAGCAAACACATTAAGTTATCATTTATAACAATATTGAAATAACCAAATTGAAATACACTATGATTATAAGGGAACTTACTTTATGTTGATCAGAAATAACAACAAAATCTACACCAGTACCAAGGTCAAAATCATCGTTCAGAAGCTCCAGAAAGCAGGTCTAGTTATCCTTGTTTTCCACATCAACAATAGCCCAAGCTATTAGGAACACTTGGTTATTAGCATATCGACCTATGGTTGTGAGTAATTCACCATTTACCTAACCCTTTAGGAAGCACCCATCCAACCCTATAATCTTCCTACACCTAATTTTCCATCAAACACAAAAAGATTTGAAAGAAATGTAAAACATTTTAAAATAATTCCTCTCATCTGGATTGTTAGTAACACCAACTTTGCATGTAGACCCAGGGTTGGATCTCAATAACTCTTGGGCATAATCCCAAATTCTTGCATAGTGTTCATTTAAGTTACCCTCAATCAGTTCCTTTGCCCTTTGTTTTTCCTTTCTAACGTTTCCTATAGATACCACACATTTGTACCTTTGTTTGATGTCATTGATCATCTCCCTAAGTTTAACTTTGGGCTTATTTGCTACCTCAGTAACATTGTGTCTTCCAATCCATTATGGGGTAACAATAGACCCAATTTTAGACACTCTAGAACAAAGATGCTCATAATTCATTGCCTTAACATGGAAGGTTCTTTCATTGTACATCCAAGCTGCATGAAGTCTAAAATGGAATTTATTATCTTCATGTCTCTTACCATATATTGCAATAATTCTTCTATTGTTGCTCTTTTGAAAGTATATATGGTACCCTTCATTTACTGCATACATTGTCACACATAATTTCAGTTGTGCCGGTGATTCAAAAACGATCCCTAACATAGGTTCCATCTTATCCCACCTAAAGTTTGGATCATGTATTTTGTAGCTGTTCGTCACTACTTCCTATGCCTCCTCGTCGTTTTACAAATCATTACCATGGTCCACTCAATCTTTCACCTCATCAATCATACTTGCATTTATGATGTTCACATCACAAAGTAGAATGTTAAGAAAATGATCCTTACATTTATCAATCTTTGATACAAACTCCTGCCATGGTTCATGATCCATGTAAATCCCATGTAGCTCAAAATCCATCTCAGTTAACCCAGAAAATGGCTCATAAATTCCAGCAAATGGGTCGTCATAACTATCGTCTGAAGCACCTATTTCTAACCCTTGCACAATCGCAACAATTATCAAGAAAAGTAAGAAATTAACGCAGATGATTTCTCGTAAATACCATGATTAACCCGTAATTTCTTACCTCTTAAAAACCCTAGCTTCAGACAACGACAATGTTTAAGCAGATGGAGTTTAACGTTTGAGTTCCTATTACCTGCGTCTGAAGAAGTAATAGCATGGGAGGGTGGCAAGGTGTGTGCCCTTAACATGGTTACCGGTTGCAAAAGGGGATGTAACCGATTGGCAAGGGGAACCAGTGAAAAACATTAAAATGAAACATGAGGGGCATATATATATATATATATATATATATATATATATATATATATATATATATATATATATATATATTATATATATATATATATATATATATATATATATGAGGCATCTGTGGCAAAAAAAAATCAACTTTGGGTATAACCGGTTTTTTTTATGTAAATTCGAGGGCTTTTATGATAAAAACTCTTTTAATTATTTTGGGCAACTTATTTTTATTTAATTATTTTGTCACAAATGACAACACCGTTTAGATTTCATGCATAAAATTATTTTTAAATTTAGAGATTATGGATTGGGAATTGTGTTGATAATTATACAAAAACAAGTACTCATGTATTTGTGGGTTTGAGGAAGCCGACGATCATATTAAGCAAGAATCTCGCATTATAAAAGAATATGCTTTTATCGTAAACACCAAGAAATTAGTTCCTTTTTTAGAATTATTTCGTATATGAAATATTGGCATATGATATTGGTCGAGTAATTCGATAGTAGAGGGGTAACCGGGCAAGATGGGTATGTCGAACGTGTTCGATTCGGTTCAAATTAATGGATATAAGTTAAAGATATGGACATATGGTATCTTTTAAGTAAAAAATCACATGGGTAATATTTTTTTTGAAGGGCATATCACATTAACAAAAGGAAGTAGAGAATTAATTACAAAGATAAGGGTTTTCTATCCGAGCAACCAACTTCATCATACTTTTTTCTTTTATTACAAATTCCAAAAACAATCTAGCAACTATGTCGTCAGAAATGGAAGCCATCTTGGGCTTCGTCGTTCCAAAAAACTCGAGCATTACAAAAATTCCATAATACCGAAGGAGTTGTGACCACAACCACATCAAAGTGATTCCATTGCACAATAGAAAATTGCACCTGATCCGAGTATAATAGCATGGACATTCAGCTCAACTGAAACATCCACATACCATTAAAGGGCGAAGATCCTGTTGAAATTAATTAGTTGTTATTCCCCTTATCCCTTTATCTCTACTTTACGTATTTATCTTTTCCTATGTATTAGGTAGATAGTTGTATCTTTTCCTATGTATTAGGTAGATAGTTGTTTTATTCCTTAGTTACAGGAGATCTCAATGTATTTATTCTGGAACTTTAATGAATTTCGATTGATTGGTTTTGATACCAAATTCTTCATGGTATCAGAGCAGGTTACCCAGATAAATTATCAACCCTAAGTCCGGCGCCATGACCGGTGAAGCAACATCAAATCCCAGGAATGAAACAATTGACAGTAGCTCACCGTATTACATCCATGCCTCCGACTCGCCAAGGCAGATGCAGACCAACGATCCCCTCACTCACACTAATTACAGTGATAGGGTCCAGGAGATGGCTAACTTCCTGTTTACAAAGATCAAGATGGGCTTTGTAGATGGAACCATTCTGAAGCCTGATGAAAAGGATGACACCTACATGCCATGGATGCGATGCGATGCCATGATAAAGGGGTGGTTGACGATATCCATGGAGAAAACCATCAGAGGCAGTGTCAAATATGCCAATACCTCAGCAGAAATCTGGGCTGATGTAAAGGAACGTTTCGGTAAGGAAAGTTCCCCCCGCACGTATGAATTGAAACAGAAGCTCACCACAACAAGACAAGGTAACAGTTCTGTTTCAACTTACTATACGACACTTAAGGGTCTTTGGGATGAGATATCCTCGGTCCTACCCACACCCCGATGTACTTGTGGTCACTGTACTTGTGAAATCGGAAAACGGTTAAACGAATTTCAAGAAAAGGAACATCTATATCAGTTTCTTATGGGGCTCGACAGTGATTTCTCAACCATTCGAACTCAAGTCCTCTCGATGAAACCAAATCCCACACTCAGGGAGGCTTACATGCTTGCGTCTGAAGATGAACAACATCAATCCATTGCAGCCTCTAAAGAAAGCCATGTCGAACCTGCTGCATTCCAAACTCATTCCCGGGAAAGGCACGATAATGTCAACAAGCGAAACAATATGGGAGATAAAGGCGGGCAAAGGGATTCCAGACAGGAGCATTGCACCTTTTGTGATCGAGATGGCCACACGAAAGAAGGTTGTTTCAAGATTATTGGATATCCAGATTGGTGGCCTGGAAAAACGAAGAATGAGAAAGACAAATCAAAAGTGGCACATGTCGACAGTGAAGTATCCAACATAGGAGGGCTGTCTGACACTCAGTACCAGGTTTTGTTGAAGCATCTTTCAGAATCAAATGACAAAACACAAGGTGAAGTATTACGCAAAGCTAACATGGCAGGTAAGTCCAATGCGAAAAATGATGACTAGATCATTGATTCGGGCTCGACTGATCACATAGTTCACAAACGTGATATACTTGAAAATTTGTCAAAGGCCCATTCTGAAACACCCGTGGTAATACCAAATGGAGAAATCATCTCTGTTGAAGCTACGGGTGATACCACCCTAAAGAGTGGAACTAAAATTGGAGGAGTCTTATATATTCCCAGATTTAATTACAATTTATTATCCGTGGGTCGACTATCAAAGGAACTAAATTGCTTTGTTGGCTTTTACCCGGATTTCTGTATAATGTAGGGCTTACTCACTGTGATGTGTGGGGCAAATATAGAAAACCTTCAACAACTCATGCAAGTTTTTTCCTCACCATTGTCGATGATTATAGCCGTGCTGTTTGGGTTTATCTTATTAAACATAAGGATCAAGCAAGTGATTGTTTAATTAACTTTCACAAGATGATTGAAACTCAGTTTGGGAAGCGAATTAAAAGAATTAGGTGTGATAACAGAGGGGAGTTCACATGCAACAAAATGAAAGATTTTTATTCACGAGAAGTAATATTATTTGAAACTACGTGCCCGTACACACCCCAACAAAATAGGGTCGTGGAATGCAAACATCGCCACTTACTCGAGATAGCTCGTGCTTTGATGTTCCAAAGAAGCCTACCAAAAAGTTTCTGGGGTGAATGTATTGAAGCAGCTACCTACATCATTAATAGATTGCCATCTAAAGTTATACACCATAAAATTCCTTACGAAATTATTTTTGGTGAAAAACCTGATTATAAGGGAATGAGAACCATGGGATGTCTCACCTATTACCACAGTACAATGACAGGGGGAGACAAATTTGAACCACAGGGAAGACCAGGAGTTTTCATTGGTTATCCTGTTGGCACCAAAGGGTACAAAGTTTATGATGTGGAACATGGAAAGATCGTAGTCTTGCGTGATGTTCGTTTTTTTGAAAAGGTTTTTCCTTATATGAAACTAAAGACAGAGGGTTACATTCAGGATTCTTTTGAAATTCCCACGTGGTATGAAGATACTATTGAAAGTGGTTTTCGTGAAGAGGGTTTTCGGATTGATGAGGAAACCTATTCTTCAAGCGATTTAACAAGGCAAAGTTTTGAAGATGAGAGAGGAGTTCATAGCCCGTCTGAACCTCACAACTCAGTTACGCAAGACATACCTGAAGCGAGTACTTCATCTGTCGATAACGAAGATCAACCAGCTAGACCAAAAAGAAACAAAAGTCAACTAGCACGCTTCCGTGATTTTGATGTTGAGCTGCCACCTTCGATAGACCACACAAAAACCACTCCTGATCAGCCTTCTTCGACGCTATATCCCAATGCTAACTATGTTTCATATGATGCTTTTTCTGACTCACATAAAGCTTACTAGGCGGCCATTACAAAAAATAGTGAGCCCAAAACCTTTTATCAAGCCATGCAGGATGCCAAGTGGCGAAAAGCCATGCAAAATGAGATTAAAGCCCTTGAACAAAATGATACATGGTCCCTTGAAAACCTTCTGGAAGGCAAACATGCTATTGATTCTAAATCGGTCTACAAGATTAAATATAAGCCTAATGGCGACATCGAAAGATATAAAGCACGTTTAGTAGCAAAGGGTTTCACCCAAATTGAAGGCGTTGATTATCACAACACTTTTGCTCCCGTTGCTAAGCTCGTGACAATTCGTTGTTTTTTAACAGTCGCTGTCAAAAGGAATTGGAATATACATCAATTGGATGTTAATAACGCCTTTTTACATGGTGGATTGGAAGAAGATGTTTATATGAAAATTCCACAGGGGTATTCAAAACGGGATGACACTCGTGTCTACAAGTTGAAGAAGTCCTTATATGGCTTAAAGCAGGCCTCGTGCACATGGTACCAAAAGTTCACTAATGCTTTAGTTAATTTTGGTTACAAGCAGTCACAAGCTGACCATTCTCTTTTTACAATTCAAGAGGGCGATTTGTTTGCGGCTATTCTTATTTATGTTGATGATGTTATCATCACGGGAAATCATGTTTCCAAGATCGATTCTACCAAACAACATCTCGACAAAGCCTTTAGCATCAAGGATTTGGGTCCCCTCAAATATTTCCTTGGAATTGAAGTAGCAAAAACTTCATATGGGCTCGTCATGAGTCAACGGAAATACACTATTGATATTCTTGAAGATTGCGGTCTACTTGGTAGTCTCCCTAGCACGTTTCCCATGGAGCAAAACACGAAGATTGAGAAATTTCTCGACAGTCCTCGAACTGATGCCAAGCAATATCGACGCATCATTGGTCGTTTGTTGTATTTTCAAGCTACTAGACCCGATATCGCGCATTCTGTAAACATTCTGAGTCAGTTTGTTTCTGACCCACGCGAGGAATACATGAAGGCAGTTACTAGAATTTTGCGCTACCTCAAGGGTACCCCTGGTCAAGGAATTTTCATTCCTAAACATGGAGACTTTCATCTTGCTGCTTATTGTGATGCCGACTGGCTCGGCTGCATTACTACACGCAGGTCTCATACCTGATGCATTTTACTCTTAGGTGGCTCCCCAGTATCTTGGAAGACAAAGAAGCAGTCCATGGTTTCGCGTTCCTCCGCCGAAGAGGAGTATAGGGCCATGGA